AGGACTCTGATTTAGGAGGATCTGTGATTCGACTCAAAATTCTCAAAATTGTAATCGTTAATGGCTCTGTGAATAGAAATTCATTGAAATAAGTATCGGGAGATTAAAAGATTTTGAAGATTTTTGAGGTGATGTAATTGATTGGTGATGGGTATGACAAATATTCAACGTATTTTTTATCTATCATCAACCAAAAAGTTATCTTTTTCTCAACGAGTCATGTTTCTGTGCTCCTTCATAAAGTTTCTGTATTAGGAACTTTAATTAGAACCATTAATAAGAACATTTCGGAAATAGATGTACACTGGACAGGTCCATTACCATTATTGCAATTAAAAACACATTAACCCGCCTTTTTGCCTGGGAAAACTTCTCTCAGCCAATTAAAATGCTGCATTTCTGCATCACGTGATAAATTTCACCCAATGAACAGCCCTGAAAGTCATCTGACTGAACGCTCGGTAGTTGAGGAATTTCGGTTAACTTCAGAGAAACAATCCTGCTTTTTTAGGGCTTGAATCTTGCAATTTTGGGTGGGTTGAAATGTTGGCAGGTTACCAGCATTTGTGTCACAAGTTTACCACAAAGACTTACGACCATGAGAGGCCGTTATCAATCTTTTTCTAGTAATTATTGAAAAATTAAATCCTTAGTACAATGATACAGTTTTTGTTATCTCGACAATAATGTTCCATTCCGATATAATATTATATAAAAACTAATTTCTCGACAGTATTTTGAGAAGGTCGATTTAGGAGGAAAGTTCTGGAATTAATCAAATGAAATGCCTCTGCCGCGCCCAAAGAACACGTCAGCACCCACAAGCTATATATCGATTTATTATACTAACAGTAGGTAATGAGGGTGCACGATGGCTTTATATTCAAATATTGTGCAACTCTTGCATGCGTTTAATTGCTATTGCATCGCCTTGCTGCAAGAGAGAGTATATTATGTAATAAGTCTAAAGTCAGTGATAGTAATGTTATTTCATCATATTATATCATTTAAGTATAATTGGCAAAAAAGCAAGAAATCAAGTTAGAGGTGGTGTCGCAGTGATTTTAAGGGAACTTCTTTTGCACTTATAAAAGTTTTTAGCATTATAAATCGATAAAGGGCCATGATGACGTCTTGTAGATAAACTAGATATACATTAAATTATCAAACACAGTGGACCAAAATGAACTTAATCTGTGAATACTGCTGGTTCTTATTCGCTCATTTTTCATTTTATTCCGGTCCACCCTGTACATTAGATTAAGATATAGTGACTATTTCGTCATCATTCCTTTGAAACGAATAACGTAACCAGACCTGAGAGAAGGGACACACTGAAAAAAACACAATTTACATACACTTTACACACTTTACACTTTTACACACAGACACCTATCTCATTACGAAAGTCCCCTAGTAAAGAATACATTCCACCAGTAGTACCCGCTTCAAGTGTAGACCATCACATACGAGAATTAATTCGTTTTTCCAATAAACAATAAAAAATTAGATCTGCACTTATTATAGTTCAGTGGTCCCCGTAACAAATCATTGATTTACATACGCACAGTTTTTACGATAACACAGGACAAGCTCTGAACCATTAATCACACATCATGAAGCATGAACTCAGCCTGAACTGAGGTTATACCCTGCATTCCAAATAGCGGGCTAAATTCCGTGTTGAAGGTAAACCCAATTAAATTGCATGATGCAACGAGAGGAGGGGAGAGGAGGAAGAGGTGAAGGAGAAGGTAAATCTTATCAGGGACAAGGGCCGGACACACTCGCTGAGTGAGAGAGAGAGAGCGATGTAGAGAGAGAGGGAGTGATGAGATGGAGAGAGATTGAAGAGAGAGAGAGAGAGAGATAGAGGAGAGAGAAGAGAGAGAGAGAAAGATGAAGAGAGAGATGGACGAAGAGAAAAGAAAGAAGAGAGAGAGGAGAGTGAGGAGGAGAGAGAGAGAGAGGAAAGAGAGAGAGAAGAGAATGGAGAGAGTGAGAGAGAGAGAGAATGAAAGAAAGGACGAGAGAGAGAGTAGAGAGAGATGACGAGAGGAGAGACGAGAGAGAGAGTAGGAGAGAGAGAGAAGAGATGACGAGAGAATAGAGGATGAGTGATCAGGAGAGAGAGAAAGGGAGAGAGAGAGAGAGAAAGAAGAGAGAGATGAGTGAGAGTGAGAGAGAGAGAAAGAGAGAGAGAGAGAGAGAGAAAGAGAGAGAAGAGAGAGAGAGAATGAGAGAGAGAGAGTGAGAGAGAGAGACGAGAGAGAGAGAGAGAGAGAGAGAGAAATGAGAGTGGAGGAGAAAGAGAGAGAGAGGAGGAGGAGAGAGAGAGAGAGAGAGGAGAGAGAGAGAGAGAGAGAGAGAGAGTGAGAGAGAGAAAGAGAGAGAGAGAGAAGAGAGAGAGAGAAGAGAGAGAGAGAGAGAGTGAGAGAGAGAGAGAGAGAGAGGAGAGCAGAAGATGAGAGAGAGAGAGAGAGAGAAGAGATGAGAGAGAAGAGAGAGAGGAGCAGAGAGAGAGAGAGAGAGAGGAGAGAGAGAGAGAGAGTGGAGAGAGAGAGAGAGAGGTGAAGAGAGAGAAGAGAGGGAGAAGGGGAGAGAGATAGAGAGAGAGGATGAAAAAGAGACGAGAGAAGAGGGAGAGAGAGAGAGAGAGAGAGTGAGAAAGAAAAATGTAGAAAGAAAGAAAGGGGAAAAGAGAAAAAGAAAAAATTAAAGAGAAGAAGAAGAAAGAAACGGGGGTTAGAAGAAATAGAAGAAGGAAGAGAGAGAGAAGAAGAGAAGAAAAGAGGAATAAGAAAGGGAAAAGAGGATAGAAGAAGAAAGAAAAGAGAAGGAGACGAAGAGGGGATTGAGGGAGGGGGGAGGAGGAAAAAGGGTGTAAAAAGAGAGAGAGGAAGAGAGGAAGCGTGAATAGAAAAAGGGTGAAGTTAAGAAGGGAGGAAAGAAAAGGAGAGAGGAGGGAGAGGAGAGAGAAGAAAGAGTAAGAAGGGGAGGAGGAGGAAAGACAAGAAGATTTTGAGAGAGAAAAGAGAGATGAGGGGAGAGTGAGAGAGATAAAAAAGGGAAAAAGGGGGGGGAAAAAAAACCCCTTTTGGGGGGGGGAAAAAAAAAAAAAAAGGGTTTTTTAAAAAAAAAGGGGGGGGGGGGGGGGGGGGGTTTTGGGGAAAAAGGGGGGGGGGAAAAAAACAAAAAAAAAGGGGGGGAAAAAAAAACCCCCCCAAAAAAAAAAAAGGGGGGGTTTTTAAAAAAAAAAAAAAATTTTTTTAAAAATTGGGTTTTCTTTTTTTTTTTTATACATTGGGGGGTTTTCCCAAACCCAGAGGTTTTAAATTTTTAAAAACCTTGATAATTAAGTTATTAAAAGGGTTATACCTGTAGAATTAATTTTTTTTAAACTTTGAAAGTTTATTATTTGGATTTTTACGGGTTGTGTTGGGTTTCACGTAAAAATTTAAAATTTATTTTGGAGGAGGTTATAACTATTAAATACCAATGATTATTATTTCTTTTGTTTATTTGATTTATTATTTAAACAGTTCATGTTAACTGCTAGTACGGGGCACAATGAACAATGTTGAAAACTTCAATTTATCATCGTTAGGCTGTCGCCTGTCGCTAGAACACTTGAAAATTGTTTTTGTTGAGTTTATTTTAAGGACTCGACTCGGGGAGAAGCAGGATATAATTAGAGAAATATTAGGTAAATATTCTAGGTAAATATTTTAGGGAAATATTAGGGAACTATTAATATTAGGGAAATGTTGGGTATATATTAGGGAACTATTAGGGAATCAGGGAATGAAATAAGTTCCACATAATATTTATTGTGAGTGCAGAACTATGCGTTATTCTACCTACTAAAACGTTGTTCAGATCAACACTGGACAATAACATAATCCAACTCCAAACATAGCCACACATGGCGACCTACATGGTATTAGGAATGAGCGATTCATCAGTTTGTTTTGTATCTAAATTAATTAATCTCACTAATCCCACGACACAAACATTATCTCTACACCAAAGTTCGTTACCCTCGGAAATTTGCCGCAAACTCCGGCACAACTCCGGCACATCTCCGGGAGCAGCTCCGGAAAACTCTCGGTAGTTTGCCGGGTAAAAGACAGTACAACATGCTCCCGTTCTCCAAGCTAGCTCAACGTGTCATTTTTCACATGTAAACTCAGGGAGTCACGTGAGCAAAATAAGGGATCACGTGGGCGAAATACTGGCTCCTGATTGGTCCGCTCGAGTTGTAGTCCTCGTAATTGGCCGTGTTCTTCATGTGTTGTTCCGGAATATTAACGATCATGCGTGTAGGGGATAGGCTATAAATAAACCAATACTTGGGATATCTTGTCAACCTTTTAAACAGAATTGTCAAGATTTAAGTATGTAGTATACTATTACCAGGGTAGTCAAGATTTAAGTACTTTAATTTTGACAGGACCGGAAAAAACACCGAAATAAGTTTTACACGATTTACATTTTTGATGTACATTTTATTGACTTGAGAAGTAAGTGCTAAGAATTCATAACAATGGAACATTTTATTTTGTCGTACTAACGTAAGTCTGGTATCGGACCTGAGAGACTTGAGCATTCTTAGTTTACACAATAAAGAAGAGGTACAAATCTTTGTTAAATCATTTCCACAGTAGACTCAGAGTTAACGTAAGTTTTTGCAAGAAATATCATAATCAATCTTCCTTAGGAATTTCGCAAATATCAAAATAAGCTTTTAATATTGTATTTTCCTCTGTACGCGAATTTCGTCTACAAATATGAAATGCATGACATAGCTCAATTTTCTCACTCCCTCATGAGCTCACGCCTCACAGCTTCTTAGCTTGATTTTCGTAAGAAAAAGTACGTAACATTCCAGTGTAAATAAATAACAAACAAAATTAAATAATTGACAATTGTTCAATAAAATAATGATACAGCAAGGTAATTACTTAATCACTTAATCACTTAATCACTTAATCACTTACGATTAACAGGATGTGTGGAGTTGTCCACGCAAGTACCAGCCACCTGAATATCTTGTTTTCCGTTTAGTATTGTCTCGTTATACCTGTGAAGCAAAGCAATGGTATCCAAAATGTTGAGGTAAATAATTTGATTAACTTAATATGTTGCATTTAACATAATATCCTAGAGGCAATCTAATATAATGTCTTGACACACGTAAATAGAGAAGCATATCTTCCCAGCAAGATTTTATACAACTTAACTCTTGATCCCTAATAGTTGACTGAATCATTAACATTGTACTGCCACAACTTGATTAATTATTTAAAGAGAGTAATTAAATAATTAATAAATAATCATAATCAAATAATTGAGAGATAATCCCTTACCTCACAGCATTGATAACCCTATCTGGGCAGTATCTGTACTTAACAAGGAAACTCTTTATACGGATACAAGCGCCTACATCTCGTATAGCGAAGAAGACTCCCTCATGATTACCTGGTGAGAAGAAAAATATAGGTAGAAAATGTGGGTAGAAAATGTGGGTAGAAAATGTGGGTAGAAAAATGTGGTTGAGTTTTATCCTTCATCATTGGATCGGTCACTACTTGTAATAGAATGTTTCTAAGGAATCCTATAAGATGACACCTACTTTATAGCATAAATGAGTAGGTTATTTAAGTTTTTAAATGAGGATTTATGTCTGGTAACATAAGATGGCTGATAGTAGGTCAACTTAAACAGTTAAACTGTTTGAAATCATGTGAGTTTGTTTGAAGGTTACGAAAATATTTGGTGATAGTATCCAACTGGACATAACGTCATGGATGAACCTGAAAAGCGGGTTTTCCAGATCCGCATTGCAACTAAAATACATGAACGAAATGAAAGCGATGACATATCCAATAAAATTCCGGCGTGAATCAATTTGTGCCATCAGCCAACCAGCAACGAGGACACATATCACGTGACTAAAACCAGCCAACGAAGTGCGCATATGTCTGGACATCATTTCATGCTCTAACGAGAGTTAAGTAGGTGGGAGGTTCTGGCTCGTGTGTCTGGAGATGGCCAGGTGTCAAGTGTTAGCTTATGTCATGCTGTGTTACAGTGGGAAACACAGTGGGGAAGTGGGCACTAACTCACTCAGATACTGACTGGAATTTATGTTGCACTGACTATTGTAGGTCGGAGCAAATTTAGTTTACTACTAAAATAATAACTGTGCTTTGCAGCAAGCCAAGGGATATGTTTGTGTGTGGTGAAGGCTAGGGAGCTTTGAGTTTGAATGACTCGGTGTTGACATTAATGCAGCAACTATGAGAAGAGTATACAGTCAGTTATTTATAATATTTTATAACCTTGGACAAAACCAGATGGGACCGGACGGCCATTGGTAAGGTAAAAACCTGCTCGACCATGACATACCGATCTCAGGTCTGAGTATCAGTTCTAGCTAAAAGAAGAATACAGAAATTGAAAAGTACCTGAGAGCTGAACTTCAACTGTGTTCCATACATAGGTGTTAAACGCTGAGGGTACGATGGCAGTGACTTTCTCATTAGCGAGGCGGTAATTGTACTCGTCAACTGTACCCAGCTCATTAGGGTTGTCGCTCTGTTGTAAGATTTAATTAAAGGAGCTCTGTTTTACATGAATTTAACTTTAACTTAAACTGTATGTTAATTTGAATGACTAAATCATGAGACAACTGTTACAGCCGGTGGGGTTGTGGTTTGGAAAAACAATAGATGTAATATTACTAAAGTGGCTGATTAGGAGGGAGGGGTCTAAAATGTTAAAAATCTGGCTTTAGATGTGGACAATCCCTAACTATTATCAGTTCTGATTAAAAAACACATAGATAGAGAAAAAATCAGAAACCAAGCTATAAATCAATATATAATTGTCAGAGGACAGTTATGATTTGACAGAGTAATGCATTTATGATTAATAGATTTCATAATGAATAAGCAATTATCTACCAGAATTCAAAACTTTACCTCTTTTAGATGCAAATGAAAGGATTGAGCACAGTTTGCGCGACGTACACCTTCCTTAGTTTCTGTACACGGAGTGAGTGTGTACTGAATGTTAACATAAACAAAGGTCACATCACGTGTATAAATGAAGGGTGTTCTGAGAAAATTATCTTGTTTTATTCCAGACAGTTGGCACACATGAAACTGGAAAGGATTGCTTACGCCCATCCACTTCTTTGCACCCAGATCATCATCTTGATCATTCTGGGTGGAGTACCAATCATCTTGATGGGTTTCTCCAAGGTTGAATAGGGTAACTGAAAAAGTGAGGTTTTCACATTTGAAAGTAAAATCCATGTTCTAGATTAACTACTTCCATTTGTAACTTAATAGACTTCGTTAAGTGTCCATATTCTTTTGCGACACAACTTTTGGTAATGTGAACCAATTTTATATTTCCATAAAATAAGTCAGTACAAACTTCAAAAACAGAAAGTATAAGTAGTCTTACCTTCGTCAGCTGCTATAAGGTAGATGAAAAAGGAAATCTTCAAAACAGATAATATCATGCTGAGAATGATTTTAGCTTTGAGAAGATAATAATAATAATAAATTGAAATTTAATAACACCGCTTTTAAGATAAAACTTATACTCAGCAGTGTTTGAACTAGTAATCCCAGAAAATATCATAAATACTGAGCTAAAAGATAACATATGCTTGAAAATAAATCGTCAATACTAAAGCCCGAAAATGGTACTTCTTTTGCCTAATGAAAAACTTGTATAACTTAAACCAAAAGAGTATAACACAGAGTATCTGGCTGCATTTCTCTAATCAATAAATGAATGTTAGGACTTCTGTACCTGGAAACACTCAGATGGCTACTAATTTTAAGTCTAGTGTCCGAAAATCCCAGTGGCACCTAGTCTAGGGAATTAGTTCTAAGGATGTGATTTTCATTCTTTATTTATAAAATTGGCATAAAATTGATTACTTTATTTTACGGATAATTTAGTTTTACAGACTATACTTTACAGTACTCTGTCACATGAATTCAGTAATGAGTTAATCAATGAAGTTTTCAATACACTCCAATTTAATTTACAATTATAGATACTTGACTAATATTCCCTTTCAAAGTGTACTGAACTTAACCTTACAAGATTTAAGATCTTTTGTTATAATAATAATTCATAATTCGTTAACTTTTTGGAAACACTCAAACAATTTTACTGAAATCAAATCAAATCAATCAAACTCAGAGAAACAAGTTCCTTGTGAACAAATATAATATAACAAAAACGATGTCTGATCGGCATCTTCTTACAGCGTTTGATGTCTGTGTGAAGTTAAAATGATGACATCCTCTGGATCAGGCAGAGGTCGAGTGTTATTGGGATTACTTCTGTAGTAGTTGTACAGCAATACTAAGGTAATGAGACTACTGCGGACCCTCTACCACCCAAACCTTGTTAACAAGTAGTCCCATTACCTTAGTATTGCTGTACAACTACTACAGAAGCCATGCCTGTGCAGCTTTCTTGAGCCCCATTAATTTTAAAAGTTTTACAAAAATTTGTTTCTGTGTAATTGAATAATATATATAATACAGTTACTATCACTGGTTTAAAACCAATCTAGGCTGCGTCAGATCCCTTGGGTGCCCAACAACTCTAGGCTTGATGTGTCTTATCAAGTTTGCCTCACCAGGACAGGGATCAAAGATATCACTGTTCAGGATTTAAATTACTGTAATTAGATCATAGACCGGCTAAACATCACTCACTTAGGAAACTGAAAAACCGGAAGTTATCATCGGGGCGCAATCTTAGGGGGCGTATCCTCTAAAATCATCTAATTTGTTCAATTTTAGGGAGGGGCGCCAAAAGGGGAGGGGCGCCAACAGGGGGGGTGCTTTTTCAGCGGGGGGGGGGGGGCACCAACAGGCAACGTTACACCACTGTGCCTGGCACAAAATCGTCTTCAATGGAGTTCCACACAAAAACTTCTTAGGATACCCCTTACACGTGCATTTATGTCAACATTCTTTGAGAATGTGCTACAAAATAAATATGCTTAGCATGGCTCAAATAGTTTTCACAATCCAGAGTTAACCTCAAATAGCTCTATATAGTGACACAATATCATTCTTTCCGATTTATTTTCTGATTTAAGTTTCACCAATTCGACCTGAGCCCATTTCGAACTATCCCACTTTTTTTCTTTTTTTTAGAGAGGCTGGGCTAAGATAGCCCACGAGCGGATAGCATTAGAATGCTCTGCCTACCTCTATCCCACTTATCGATAGACGAAGCATTCGATTCAATGTCATGCCAATCGCTGTTAACTTTATAGGAATCACAATGCAATGAAACACCAGTTAGTACTAAGCAATTATCAAACCGCACAGACAACATGTTTGTGGTACATTCTGAAATATAACACAATTAGTATATATTATATCGATTATCATAAATATATATACCAAATATATAGCAATTCACACCGCTTACCCTAACCTTAAAACCCTAACCCAAATTCAAACCCTAAAATCTGTTGTCATACGTTGTATGACCCGCCGCGCACGAAGTGCGCGGCTCCCCCTGTATCGTCAGAACGATAAAGTGAAACGACCGTGGGGGTCGCAACGTGATACAAAAAATCTGTACTTCAAATCTTTATATTATCTTCACGATTACTTTAAAACTGCAAAACTAACTTATTACGAAGCATTAAAATTTGTAGCGCGATGCGTTACTGTGCCGCGCCGCGCACTCAATGAGGCTTCTCTGGCTAGATCGGCGCGGCGAGATGCGCTACTGTGCCGCGCCGAGCTGCCATGAATTGACATCGTCAATTAACATTAAAATCATTTCTTGGCGAGCTATTAATTATGAGCAAATAACCATTTTTGTCAGACGCGGGTGGTGAATGGTGATTAGATTTGATTGGACCGTTCTTGGTTCTGTGAATATGCTTATACGTTTTTAATGTATAAATAAGCTGAGTGATTGTGAACGTAAGCTATACTATACCAATGTACGTAAGCTATACTGTACCAATGTACTTTTTATGTTGATTTCGAATAAGACCTATTAAATTACTTAGTTAATTGACGATGCCAATTCATCGCAGCTCGGCGCGGCACAGTAACGCATCGCGCTACAAATTACTAAGCATGTAAATCATTTTTTGACGATTTATAAGCAAGTAACAAATTTTGTGAGACGCGCGCACGTGACAGGCTTGTTAAACGATATTTCAGCTATTTATGCTTTAGGATTCGAGTCAGTTTTGGTTTTTAAATAATTTTAAAGACAGTATAAAGATTTAAAGTACAAATCTAAATACTTACCATAAAAATCAAAATTAGCATTTACAAATGTACACAGAACGGTTTAAATTTAATCGCCACCTAGACGCGCGCACATGACAGGCTTGTAAAACGATATTTAACCTGTTTATGCTTTAGGATAAAAATTAGTTTTGGTTTTAAAGCAATTATAAAGCTAATATTATTTATTAGCTAATATTATTTATTAACTTTATTATTATTATGTTTATATAAAGATTTAAAGTACAAATTTGAGTTACCATTCAAATTGAAATCATGGCATTTACAAATGTGCACAGAACAGTCGAAATTTACCTGAGGACCCCAGGCTATTATGTTCATTAACATAATAAAGATTTAACCGAATAAAGATTTGGCGGAATGACAGGCTGAGCGCGGCCCAGTAAAGTCGAAATCTAATCCATAATCGTGACGGTGACTTTGCTTTGGTTTTTATGATTTTGCAGCTGAACAAAACAGTTTTACATAAACCCTTATTCCAATTTTAACCCGCCTAACCTTGGAGGACTTCGCCGCTTCGACGCGCCGCGCAAACTAGCATTCTTGTTTCGCAGAGCAACGATCTGGAAGGGTTGACATCGTCAATCAAGCCTAACCATGCATAACCCGGCCCGAAGCTGTCCAAAACCCTAACCTCAACCCTAATATAACCCGAGCTTGGCCCTAGTACGTAAACAAGTATAGCCTAAACATTGTTTAGGCTAAACAAAAAATTCATATGTTTCACTAGCCTGTCACATTTTACCTGCCCAAACATAGCTTGGCGTATTTAAAGTTAAACCTTTTCAAACGCGCAAGCGGGCGCGTTTTTGCGATTTTACAATCCATGCAATCAGCAATGCAATATAATCAAATTTAACAATGATCTAACTCAGTGCACGGCTTTTGTATCGTATACGTTCAACGTTACTTGTTTACAATTGGTGGTTAGCGCATTGTGCACAGTGCACAGGCAGTGCACGTGATATTTTTTGAGGTTGCAATTGATTAATTATAAATGATTAAATTAAGTACAGTAAATATGCTGGTCACTCGCGCAATATAAAAGCATTCGTTCAATCAAGAGTTTAAATTCCCAAATAGTCAGACTGAGCAGGTTGAGCTGTAGTAAAACACAGTACTGAGGTGTTAAAACATTTCATTACTATCTTCAGTAACATCCTGAATCAGAAACTCGGTAATATCAGTTCCTACAAAGTGTAACATTGGAAATGAAATGACACAACTAAAAACGATACCTATGAATATTTTTAAAAACATAACTTTTGTGCCCCAATGCAATGGAAAACCTTTAAGATAAATCCAATAATGGGATCCCAAACGGGTCCACGGCATTGAGCCCCAATGGACGTATAGTTCTTAGTTTCTGAATATAACGGTGTTCATCCACTTCTAGAGTTCTTGGGCTACTATTACTGAGAATTGACACTTTATAAGCATGGTTGAAATTGTCACGTTGTTTCATGTTATGAACTTCTACAAGGTGTTTGCCCAAGCTGAATCCGTCGTCGTTTTCTTCAGGGACAAACGTATTGTCCGAAATGAGTTTGTAGTAATGGGCGCGATGTTCGTTTACTCGTGCCCTTAGGGGCTGCACCGTTCTTCCTACATAACACATATTACAAAGTTGGCAACTGAAGATGTATACAACATTGTAGCTGACACATGTACCAGACACTGCTTTGGCTCGCTGTCCATTGACTGTTATTGATGGATGTGGAGATATGATGTTACAGGTACCGCAGTGTCTGCCCCCACATGGTCTTGTGTGAGGTTGGGTTAAGTCATCCGCAAACTGTTTTGCTTTGACTAACTTCCTTCTAAATGATGTTCCAGTACGTCTGACGAATTTGAAGATAGGGCGTGATGTACTGGCTCTAGATGATATTGGGGAGCCTGGGGTGTTTCCACTTGTATGGGAACCAGATAATCCTGAGAAGCTCCTGGTTCTACTGAGTTCTGGTTCCAATCTTTTTACCGATTCAACTAACTCTTGATCGCTGCCAAATGTTGAAATAACGCGGACTGCTGGTTCTGGAGACTTTGGCATTCGTTCAATATAAAGTAGGGGGTGCACGATAAAAATAAACTTGCTCAGATTTTTTAAATTTGTGTACCATTGTTTTCTAGAGACTGTGAGAATTTTCACAGTACCAAATTTTTCATATTTTTTTGGAATGATCAGTGAGTTTTGCCTAGGTGCCATATTTGATGGTGCGC